AATCGTTTTATTCACTTTTAAAGGCAGTGAGGTTGGGAGAGAGAGTTTTTCTTTTATGAAGAAAATGAAAGAACAACTGAATCAAGTGGAACTGAAATGATACCCATTTTCACTCTACTGGGATCAAGTTCTTTTCATAAAAGGCACTGTAGGCTGACCTGCATATCTAACCCCCATGCTTCACTTGGACAGTTTAAGACGACACAGCGCATACTGGAAGAGTCAACACTTACTTACGTACCAGTTGTTTTAATGCTCCACCCAGAAGTTAGTGTCCCCACTTGTACAATCCGTATGACTCTGTTGATTGCTGGGAGAAAACAGAAAGAATGATTAACCTTGGGTCAGGGAGAAACTGTTAGGCGTAACTCCTTTTCAAGACTAAGATAACAAACACAGATATAATTTAAATATCAGGCAATAAAGTGGTTTATGGGCTCTGAAATCAGAATGCTTGCCTTCAAATCCCAGTCTCCCCTCCTCCTGGCTTTGGCATCTTAGACAAATCACCTACTACCTCGAAATCTCAGTTTCCTCCTCACTTGTAAAATGGGAATAGTAATAGTACTAAGTCAGAGCTGCTGTGATGATCGCATAAGAAAATCCTCAAAAAGTGGCCAGCTGAGTACCTGGCATATAAATATGCTCAATAATTGCAGGGAGTACCCTGGCCAGTGTGACTCGGTTGCAGCATTGACCCATAGAACAAAAGGTGGCAGGTTCGAGGTTTCTCTTTCACATTAGTGTTTCTCTCTCTCTTTCTCCCTTCCTCTCTCTAAGATGAATAAAAAAATCAATCACCAGCCCAGTCGGGCACGTCTCAGCAGTTGAGCATCGACCTAGGATCCAGGAGATTGCAGTTCAATTCCCGGTCAGGGCACATGCCCGGGTTGCGGGCTCCATCTCCGGTTGGGGGCGTGCAGGAGGCAGCAGATCAATGATGACTCTCTCATCATTGATGTTTCTATCTCTCTCTCCCTGAAATCAATAAAGATCTATTTTTTTTTAAATTAAAAAATCAATCAATAAATAAATAATTGCAGCTACTGTTCTAACCAGTTTAAGGCCCAAAACAGTACACAACAGAGGGGAAGGTAGAAGAGTGGAATTTCCTTGTGTTACTTCATGAGAAGGGTGAGAAGTTTTAAGTAAAGATTTTAAAACTTGTTTTGTTTTGTGGGCTTTCTATTTCTAAAAATATTCAATTTGTGTGGAGTTCACACAATATTATATGCCTGCCTTCTAAGGGCGTTTGAGTTGGGGGAACCCTGTGTCTAGCCCCCAAATGCCATTATTATCCCCATATCTGGCCAAGACTGGTGAGAAAACAGAACACTGTAAAGCATATTTCTCTTTTAAGAGAGCTGTTTACTCACCTTTGATTGAAGGATACAGTCTAGCCCTGGCCAGGTAGTTTAGTTGGTTGGAGTGTCGTCCCAATATGCCAAGGTTGAAGGTTCGATCCTAGGTCAGGATACATACAAGAATCAACCAATGAATGCATAAATAAGTGAAACAATAAATCGATGTTTCTCTCTCTCTCTCAAACCAATAACCAATCGATCAATCAATAAAAGGGCAATTCCATCTTTAAAAAATGAGATAAATAAAGGATATAGTCTAGGTCATTATCTCACTTCTCTCCAGATATTATCTAGAGTCTAGGCAAGAATCACCACCATCGACGATATATTTCAAAGCCTTGGTTATTGCAGCAAGAACCCCCCAAGTCACTATTTCCTTGAAAAAGGATTTCTATGTGTACGAGTAATTTTTTAGCAGGAAGAATATGGACACTGAATTTGAAAACCTTGACGGCATAGGACTTATGGAACTTTATTTTTATAGGACATGACTAGATAGCTACGGGAGATCTGCACCGTCCCAATCTATATTTTGGATCTTTTCATTCATATGAACAGTCAAAGTTAAAGCTTTAATCCTTCTTAATGTCTTCTGGGCAGTGTTATGTCTCCTGAAGAACTGATTTTGGAAGCAGCAGTCACAACAGGGTCCCTAACAGTTTACAAAACATCTCACAGATAGATACCACCCATGGTTTAAACATTTTTTTAAAGGTTGACCATGACTATGTTTGTGTGAGTCTAGAATCCTTAACCATGACCTGAAATCTCTGCAGACAGAGGTACGCTTCAGGGAAGTCGGGGGCACACAGTGGAAGTTTGTGCTGCTACCACAAGACACCTTTGTTTTCTATTTCATCATTACTTGGCACCAAAGATGTTTTGGCTCTCAATCACACATTGTCGGTGACATTTACAGAAGTCTCGGGGCAAGATACTTCCACTCTTAAAGAGAAGGCTCTTCTCCCAAAGGAAAAGGAACAATAGTCAAGGAACTTGCAGGACATACGGGAGTTGCAGCCACTTCCCAAAACAATGCTGTTCCTCGTTGAGAGGTAATAGTGAACTTGGTGGGGGGGGGGATGGGGAACTTGTTGCGATAGCAACAGTAATGTTTTTTCAATAGCGCAGGGGGAGAAAAGCGGAGGGAGGAGGGAAAAGCAACATTTCTACAACCTCCTCCCATTCATACGAGACCGTGCCTGAAAATTCTGCTGCCTTCCCCCCAGCAGGGGACAGGCGGAGATAGGATGAAGCGCAGTCGTGGAAAAGGAAAGCCAGTTGATAGAACCAAACAACTGGGTCGCAGAATGACTGCCGTGATGGCTTAGAAGGCATTCACCATGAACGCGCTCAGTTATTTTATGGAAATGAAAGCACAGCTAGGGACCTCAGCGCTCCCCTTTGTGGGGGTCGATCTACATGAGGACTAGCTCCTTGAAGGCTGCGAAACAGATTGCGAGAAGGCTGCTGGAAAACTGAAGCAGTGGAAAGGCAGGAGTCGGGAGACCGCAGGGGCTCGAGGTGGTGTCTTTGTTGGAATGGCTGAAGGGATCCGTGGAAAAGGAAGACTTTGGAGTCTGATAGGCACCTTCAGATACTTGCAGATAAGGGCAAAGTAAGGCGCTTATTCTGTGTCCAACGGTGGAGCTGGGGCACAAAATTTTGGCTTATTAGAAGCAAGAACTCATAGTTGTTCAAGTTAGAGAATGTTAAAAACCTACAAAACAACAAACCAAACAGATACACTGCACTGTGGGGGCACCAAGGGGGTCAGGCACAGCCTGAATGGTTGCTGGATGGGGGTACCCTAGAAGGCCTTGATGCACGTGTGAAGGGGACCTTTAGCATCATCTTTTTTTTTTAAACCGCATCCAAGGATATATTTTTTCCCATTGCTTTTTAGAGAGGGTGGAAGGGGGCAGGAGAGAGACACAGATCGATCGGTTGCCCCCGGCCCTACGGGGACGGAGCCTGCAGCCAAGGTTCTGCCCTTGGCCGGAATGCAGCCTGGGACCCTTCAGTCCGCCTGCCCACACGCTAACCACGGAGCCCAACGGCCGGGGCTGACGGCATCCTTTAAGGGCAAGGATCTATGACGACAGATACTATTGTTGAACCTTTATTCTCTACTGATCAGAAAACTGAAGAGGAGGAAAATTAAACAACTTGCAAAAGCCGATTAGTTGGCAAGTAGGCATGGTTAGAATTCTCATCCAAATTCATCAGCACACAGGTTCTTAACCTTTAAGCTCCCAAAGCACAGGAATCCTCTCTCAAGAGTGTTTAAAGCAGGAGAGATTCTGAGAATGACACTGGATTTAGAGAATACTTGCTGTGGGGGGTTGTTTTTTCCTAGAGCTGTGCCTGTGGCTGAATGGAAAACAAAACAAAACAAAAGTAACCACCCATCCCTCCAAATGCGGATGACTACATGGGAGGAAGCTGAGAACCATCTAAGAAAAAGAAAGCTACTTTGGTTCTTTCTTGGACTCTTCCTCACCCCTCCCCACCCCAGGCTCAGCGAAGCCAGGGCATGAAAAGTTTTTAACTTTGCGCTCCTGTCAGAGCTGCCCCTTAGTACAGTGTCAGAGGCCCGCATTTACCCGGAATCTATGCTACCCCTGGGGCTGGTTCGACTCTGCTGTTAGTCACTGCAAAACGTGGAAAAGTGCAAACCAAACTTCCAGCCCAGGAACCTAAACCGACTTCCATGCAGCCCCCGGCAGCTGGACGCTGAGGACATCCAGGCGAATGCATATTCTTTCCTGCTCTTGCCAATCCTCACCCAAGGGTATTTCCCCACTGACTTTTAGAGAGAGTAGGGGGAGGGACATCGATAGGAGAGAGAGACATCAATTGGTTGCCTCCCGAACTCATCCCCAACCGGGGCCAGGGATCAAGCCCACGTGCCCTTGACCAGGAATGGAACCCATGACCCTTCAGTGCACAGGCTGAGGCTCTAACCTCTGAGCCACACCAGCCAGAGCCAAATTCATATTCTTCACTGCTCCACAGCAGGTTAAGCCCCAAGTCCCCTTTTGGTCTCTCTTGGCGAACTCCAGGCCTGCGTTTGCCCAAGAACCTCTCCTTTCCTCCCGGAACCCACTGTGATTTCTTCTTGGCCTTCAAGGGGCAGGGGTGCATATCCAGGTCCTGGCTTACCACTTCAGGCACAAGACACGGATGAGAGAGAAGAAGAAAAAAAGGGGGAAGAAAACTTTTTACCCAGTTTCTAGTTCCGATCGAAGCCCTCCAACCAAACCCCACTGTGAAGCTCTCAGGACTCCATTTCAGCCTCTATCTAACGGAGCCCTTTTCAAGGGAACTGCGTTCATTATGAGAACAGTGTCCCTTAGAGGTTGGCATGACAAACTGTCACATCTTGGGTTTTTCCCCATGCTCTTCAGTCTCAGTTTCTTATTAAAACAAAATAAGCTATTTTATCTCAGTACTCTACTGTGGGTAGTTTGTGATCCATCTCTCAACATTTGAACACACCGTTCTATATATTCAGGGGTTCCTTTACAATTCTCACAGCCATGGGAATATTTTTTTGTTGGTTTTCCCAATAGTTCAGATTGCATGACACAGGACCAAGATCAGGGTGAGGCAAGTGAGGCTGGGTAATGCAAACAGAGTCAGGCCCTGACTTCATTTAAGATTGCGATATATTGTTCAGCATAGATTTCCTCTGCATTAAGTGTGATTACTAAGCTTTTTGGCACCTGTGAAACTTTTGCCTCAATTGCCTCACCCTAGCTCCCAACCTGCCATGACCCACTTAAGTCCGTGGGTACTAGGTAGCCTGGTATGTTGAAAGAGCATTGGAACTCAGGAGAGAGGCTTCTAAGTTTTAGTCCTGCATGTCACTAGCTGCATGACTTTGGATGAGTCACCATCCCACATGGTACTCTGGGTGCCTCATCTGGAAAAGACAGGTGACATGCAATTTTAAACATTTATGAGAAGCTCAAAGATGGCAGAGCAATATATTCTAGCTCTTTTACTACTTTCCGTGCCTCCAAGTAGCATCGAATCGAGTGCTTTGCACAGAGTGGGCATTTAAAAAATGTCTTCTAGTAAATTTTTTTTTTTTTTCACATTGAATCAAAAATATGGACCAAAGTCCAAAACAAAAGGCTCACACAAATGAAAAACATTCTGCAAATGAAAACAAAACCTCCCAAACAAGAATATTGTCTCTCCCTCATTCCTCCCAGAGAAAAGAATTTTAAGTCATTGCTCTAATTCATTTAAGTATGTCAAAGTCTTACTGCCTTTTTTCTCTCCAAGATATATTCTATTCAAATATTTCGGGTTATGAGTGAACCAGACTTGTGTAATCATTCAGCCTTCTGGGATTTCCTTTCATTTAAAGATACCAGTACCACCCTAATGAGTCACATTTCATAAAATGTAACATCTGTGAGAAAAGGTTATAAACATGCAGCAGTGCCCAAAACAGCTGTAGAACTGCGAAGAAACAGAATCTACACATCTTAACTAGCTCTTCACACTGAAGTGGACATAACTAGAAAGTAGTGGGAGACAACATTTGCGTGTAGCTCAAATCCCTTTTATTTTCTCTTCTTTCCTTGACTATCAAAGAAAGGAAGGAGGGAGGGAGGGAAGTACTCGTACAATGGTAAAACTTATGACTATATTTTAAAAGCTCTTTTCCTTCTTCGAGCTCACTTTATATTATGCCATCTTTCCCATTTACTTACTTTCTGACCAGTGGTAGAAATTCAAAGGAAGAACCACTTCTGAGACCTCTTAACTATATTATTTTTCAAATTGGTTCTGGACATAGTACATTTGCAGTAAATAATTTTAATATATTTAATATCTTTCATATTTGATATTACTCAACCTTGTCTCAGAAACAGAGGTCCAGTACTTGAGGAAAGTAAAAGTGACCTTCTAAAGGGCATTGAGTATGGTGGTTTATGAGAAAGAATGGATGTAGGCATGTATCTGTACTGTCCCTATCGTCTGGGTATTTTGGATAACTCAAAGCCAAGTGCTTCTCCAGGTATTCAAGTCCAAGAAAGTAGTCAGAAAATATCTTGGCGCCTTTATAAGTAATACAATATGCCTTCACTGAAGTACAGTGCAAGCAGTTTATTTCCTGATAGGACACTTGGAAAGAACTCGGTAACAATCCACTTGATACAATACAATTTCTTTTTAAAAAAATTCTACTTTTAGAGCCAGTTGCTATAGCTTTTCTGCTCATCACAGGTTTTCTCTAACAAGACAAAGTCAGACAAACCATTTCAACCTAAAGCCTGATTCTGAGTTTTGACTGTGTTCTGACTATTGAAACTGTTCAATAACTTGTGTGACTAGTTATTGAAAGCAAAAGAGCTTGGCAATTCTAAGCTCACCTTTAAAACCACCTAAGAATAGAGTCAGATTAATAGTAACCATAGACATCTTGAATTGAAGACACTTTAGTTTAGCTTGCTTTCAAGATAATGTTTTGAAGGTTCTGAAAAGAGAAATTCACAATGGCTAGTCTAAGACTTCTAAAAAAATCTAATTCTACCACACTGACCTGGAAAATGGGACTGGTAGGCGTGTCCAGAGTGTTCTTTAGAAATTGCCCGTCTTCTGCCACTTCAGAAGTCACCTGTTAAGCAACACTTGCATTGAACTTCACGCCAGTTACAGTACTAAGCAAATCACCTTCTCTGACAGGTTTTCCCAGCTGATGATATGCTTAAGCAGCAGTTACAGGCCCTGAATTATTTTGCTAAAATGGACTTAGTAAGCCTATATTAAAGAGATCCATAATATGGACTAATGGCGTATTCAGTGCCTTTTCACCATCCGTGAGAAGGGAGGCGAATGGTGCGCCCGGGAAGCATGCCAACCAACCGCCTTCACTCCATTTCATGGGATGTACACTGCTATTCACCGAAGGCAGAGGGGAGTGCCTTTGGTGACCTGTTCTGACATTTAGACGTGCTAAATTTCTGCCCAAATGCAAGCTTTCTCCTTGACCACGAGTTCAATGTGAGTCAAGAAAGAGATGTGACAGCTTAAAAAAAAAAAGGTAAGTTTGCCCTTGAGCTTTTTAATAGAATTGGGAGAGTATTTGTCCAACTCTCCTAGAACTGGTCAGACTGCACCTGGGGGTATTGTCTTCTTTTCTGGGAATTATAATGTAAGAGGAACAATGATAAACTGGAGCATGTCCAGAAGAGAGGGAACAGGATGGAGAGAAAGCTTTAAACTACATCATGTGAGGAGCATTCAGTGAACTGGTAGAGGCTATTTATCCTGGAAAAGAAAGGGCGGGGTAACTTTTTCAAATGTTTCAAGGGCTGGCACAGAGAAGCGGGAACTGTTTTATCTACCAGATAAAACCAAGAATATGAGGGGGAAAAACCTTGTAGCTCAATGTAAGGCAAAACTTTCCAAATATTATAGTTGTTTAAAATTGGCATTTGTTCATTTAATAAATATTTCTTCAGCATCTACTATGCGTTCTAGGCCCTGGAGATGCAGTAGTGAATAGCAGTGGAAAGAAGCCATGGAGCTTTCATTTTCGGAGGATGGTACATTTCTCATAATTGGAGATGTTTAACGAGGCAACCATAAATTGAGGGTTTTGTAGCAGGAAATCAGGAATTAAACATGACCGGACTTGGTGATGTCTAAAGTTCTGCCAATCCTAAAACTTTATGTTGTGGTTACTCTAATGGTATAGTGATGAAGTTTGATGGGTCTCCTGGCTATTGGTCAGGATGTACAATTCTGATTATGTGGCTTAGCCAGTCTTCTATCAGTCAATACACATGCAGTGATGCCTCTGCTAAGTTTCTTAGAGGGGTTGGGTGGCATGGAGGGTAAAGAGAAGGGACACTATAAAATTTCTTCCACATGTAATGTACAGAGAAGGAAAACGATTTTCCTTATGTCCCATATTTATCCCCAAAGAGCTGGTTGCCATTTCTGTTACTTTTATTCTTTTTCTTTCTTTTAAAAAAATGTTAGTTATTGATTTCTAGAAAGAGAGAGGAAGGGAGAGAGAGAAAGATCAATTTGTTGTTCCACTTATTTATGCATTCATTGGTTTCTTTTATGTGCCCCCTGAGAGGAGACCATGTAACAATAGAAAATTATAAAATAATGTCCACTATAGTCCTGATCAAGACAGAGGACAACTGATTTGCGTATCGTTCAATCTGGTAATTCTCAGAGGTGTCAAATGTCCTCTGGAGTGCAGAAGGACACGTTGTTCTATCTCAATAGCATCCATAGGCTTGGTCACATCTTTGGTTTGGGAAGATGGGGTCATCTTTGAAAACAGGGTCCCTCTGATCTTCATCTAAATATGGAGCAACTAACTCCATAAGAGAATAAAACTGGAAGATAACTCATCACAGAATGAAATCATGACCATGATTATAAGACCTTTTGAAGAATTATGAAATGCTTGTAAATTTCTCCTACTGATCATGTTTCTATTATCCACCCTTCGCAAGTGATTCATAGTAAAGGCCTTAAGCTAAAAATAAGTATTTGTGGAGCAAACAATAATATGGAAGTTGGAGAGATTTGTGACAAGAGAAGTGGCTAGTAGAGTGAGCTTCTGAGGGAGAGGGAAGTGTTATGAGTTCCTGGATCCCCTCCAGGATAAGAAAAGGAAATGAAGCCCGGCCGGTCGTGGCTCAGCCATTGAGCGTCGACCTAGGATCCAAGTGACTGGGGTTCGATTCCCAGTCAGGGGTGTGCAGGAGGCAGCCGATCAATGACTCTGTTATCATTAATATTTCTCTCTCTCTCTCTCTCCCTCTCCTTTCCTCTCTCTGAAATCAATTAAGATACATTTTTTAAAAAAAGAAAGAAAAACAAATGGAAGCTGGTTGAAGCCTGGTTCTGAGGCTGAGTAGTAGAAAAAGACAAGTGTATTCCCCAACAATGCATCACTGCAGTCTACACAACTCTTTGCTTCTTACTACATTCAGATGTGAAATTAGAGTACAGGTAGGTCCTTCCTAAAGAAGACAATAGGAAGGTAATAGTTCAAAAGCTGGATCGAGTTGCATTTCTTACACTATGGTTATCTAGATACTCTTTAAAAACTCTAAAATCAGTGGAAAATCATCTTTTTAAATGTATGGCTGAGCTGGAAAGAAAGGAAGGAAAATCCTCAGTGGCCTGAACTGAAATGGGAGCAAGAATCCAGAGAGACATCAAAGCTGTTGGTTGTCCTATGGACCATGTGGCCTTTCCTTTGCTGTGACCACCATGCAAAGCGCAGAAGGTAAAATGTTGGACCTGGAAATTTTCTGAAATGCTTGGACTCAGTAATTCTCCAAGTGTTTGGTGAAGGGGTTGTGTGCATGTTAGTGGCCCACTTTCAACTCGGCCTTAGCCATCACTTTCTACTTTCTATTTGCACAGAGCCTCAAGTCATCCAGAGGTCCCTTTTCAGGTCTTGGCAGTGCACAAAGTCCTCGACATGGGCACAGCCCTATACATGAAAGTGGCTTTCTTAATTTTTTAAAAATTTTTATTGATTTCAGAGAGAGGAAGGGAGAGGGAGAGAGAGAGAGAAACATCAATGATGAGAGAATCATTCATCGGCTGCCTCCTGCACGCCCCTAACTGGGGATCGAGCTCGCAACCCAGGCATGTGCCCTGACTGGGATTCGAACCTTGATCTCCTGGATCATACGTTGATGCTCAACCGCTAAGCCAGGTGAGCCAGGCAAAAGTGGCTTTCTTGATTGCCAGGTATATGTCAGAGATTTCCAAAGCTCCTCTGTATGTCTCATTCTCTAATTTTTCTTTTAAAGCTTTTGGTTAGTTTAATGCCTTCCCTCAACTGGTATCCATTACCTCAGGCAGCTGCAACATTAAGTAATTGCCTGTAATTATTTTTGACAAATGCTTATGGATAAAAAGCTTTTCACACTGGTTGAGCTCTGAGTTAGGTCAAATATAGACAGCCTTGCAAGTGAGGTTTTTCAGGGAGCCACCAGACAGGTCAGACAACAATTCTCTGGGAATGAAGCTTTGACAGAACTCCAGCTCCTTTCTGTTGTTTCCAGTGGCAGCCAGGCTGCTAGTCTTCACCTAGAAAGCAGACTGTTAGTTTTTAAGAATATCCCATGCTCAGCTGGGCGTGGCTCAGCGGTTAAGCATCGACCTAGGATCCGGGTGATTGGGGTTCGATTCCAGGTTAGAGCACATGCCCAGGTGGTGGGCTCAATCCCCAGTCTGGGGCGTGCAGGAGACAGCTGATCAATGACTCTCATCATTGATATTTCTATCTCTCTCTCTCCCTCTCCTTTCCTCTCTCTGAAATCAATAAAGATATATTTAAAACAAACCAAAAAAAAGAATATCCCAAAGCACAAGATGCCGAGATGGGCGAGGGCAAGGTAAAAATGCCACAAATCTCACTTCTGTTACTGAGATTGTGCTTGCTCTTTCCTTCCTTCCTTCCTCCCTCCCTCCCTTCTTTCTCACTTTACCCAATTGTTGCTAACTTTTAGGTAATTCCCAGAGTCCTGAAAAAGCTGATTCTGTTTTGCCAGTTTCTCGTTACTTTTATGGAGTAAAGAATTTTTTGAGGTCCTTATTTTGATATTTTCATTAATGTCACCTCCGTAGGGAGTTCGAACAGGCATACTTTGTACATCTGGAAACCACTTGGCCCAAGTAGCATAGTGTTCTTTAAAAAATTAGGCTTGCCCGGCCGGGCGTGGCTGAGCGGTTAAGCGTCGACCTAGGATCCAGGCGATCAGGGTTCGATTCCCAGTCAGGACACATGCCCGGATTGCGGGCTGCAGCCGATCAATGACTCTCTCATCATTGATGTTTCTAGCTCTCTCTCTCCCTCTCCTTTCCTCTCTCTGAAATCAATAAAGATATAAAAAATAAAAATAAAAAATAAAAAATTAGGCTTATGAAATTTAAGAAGAGGCATATAGCCCACCTAATAGATAAACTCTTATGGAAAAATGTACAATGTTCTACCACCTCCTTCTCCTTCCTAAACTTGCTTTAGCTCTAGAGACTATAAAAATGAATGAATGAATAAATGAATTAATGGATCAATAAATCAATAAATTCGTGGCTCATCAAAAGGTCCAGTACCCAGACTTACATAGAAAGGGCACTCAAAGAATGGTGCTGAATCAAAATAGATTGGCTCAAAATTGGCAAAATTTTTCTGTTTACTGTTATATCCTATCCTACTCATAACATTAAATCTTTAATTTTATATTTATCCCATAGAAAATTGTATAATCTTTTATAATGAAGATTTCCCACTTAATTTTTATGGGATTTATCTTAGTTTGGGTAGAAAATGAGCCTTACAATATAATTTTAACTAATTTTTTTCCATATGAGAAAGGAACAAAGAAACAAGGAGGAACAGAAGAAAGGAGGGAGGCAAGAAGATACTCTCGCCAGCTGTCAAGGTGGTGGCCACTGACAAATTATAGAAGTATTCTGACTAATACACAGCAGAGATATAATTATTTCCATCAGAAAACTCTTAACTAGCTCAATTGAGGGACAGTAGTTAAAGAAGCCTATTTGGAAATGATCCAAAAAGATTGTTGCGTCTTAATGTCTTTTTTAATTTGTTATAATGAATGA